GGGGTTTTTCAAGTGAGTGACTTGGAAACACAGTACTTCTGTTTTTAAGTTTCCATCGAGTATTGTTCCAGAGGTGTGTTTGCTGAAAGGTGTTGAAAAATAGATCGCTGTCTGCTGTTGGCGCCGCTTTGACAATCGACTGCATACCACATGCTTGTATCCAAGCCAGCATGTACTCTTGTATCGCAGCAAACAGTCCTCGGGGACACGTGCAAGTTATGGTGATATGTTACAGGTGGTGCATGACGGTGTTTTTTAGTTGTGGTTATCACGGCTTTGTGTTTTTTACATGAGGCCTAAACTTGGCTCAGCTGTGTCTGTGTGCCGGACTAAGAATCAAAGTAGTTTCATGCACAGTCAGCTAAACGGTTTTAAATAACCGCCAATCATTCATGTGCTTCTAGGCTTATCAGTCCAGGGATGAGGCCCAGGCCATGATCGCACATGTCCTGGCTGAGAAGGACACCCTGAGGTGCCAGCTGGTGGAGCTACAGGAGAAGGTGTTCAGCTTACAGACCAAACGCAGCTCTGCAGAACTGCACCAGAGCTCCGAAGTAAATTTTTTAAACACACACGCGCTCACGTATGCACAACACTTGCTAAATGCTATTACTGACTAATTTCATGTCTACCCTAAGGAGACGGAGGGCGGCTGGGATCGTCTGAGTTCCAGCAGCGATGAATGCCCCGTATCGTCTCGACGCAGACTCTGCCGCATGGATGCAATTAATCCTTCAATGGTTTCCTGCAATTCAGAGGTGTGTGAGTGTGTGAAATAGCTGTGAAATGCTCTGTTAATTTTTTCCCACATGTAACAATATAATCACATATTTTAAATCTGATGTTTTTGTACAGCTCTCCAGTTTTAAAGAATAGAGTTAATACAGTCACGAGGATTAGGGTCAACTCGTAGGAGTTAGATGAGGTAGCTGGCTAATGTGTGGAGTGGCTGAGGAGTTTTTGCTTTGTAGCCTGGAATGATTCTAAGGAGTCATCTCAGGCACAAAGAAAACACTGCAGACAAAAAGCAACAAGAGAAACTAGGGCTTATTGTCTAGCGGCCTGATGAACACTATGGCCACTTTGGTAGACTCAGTAATGCAGTGAGTAATGGATGAAATCTACAGCTGCCAAGCTGAATAGACAAAGAGTAGGTGTGGCTGGTCAGGCAAACAGTAAGAGTGACTAAGGAACCACACCTGAGCACATCAACACAAATTCCCCTTTTCTTCCGCTCACTGCCAGCAGAGGGTGGTTAGATTCATTTCTAAAATGGACAAAATCTGTAGGATGCACCTACCAGTCTCTGTTAGTGCGTCCAACAATGCACCCAACAGTTTTATAGTGGAAACTCTTCGCCATGAGTAAAAGTTATTTATTTATGGCGTTCAACTGCATGCAACCAATATTAAATTGGGTGCTGGCACATTATCAGTGGGGAAAAAAGGTGAGATGGAGACAAAACCAGGCACTAGTGACCAACATGTGTAATCAAAGCCTGATAGCACTGCTCTTGAGATTAATAATGAAAAACCCTGACATATCAGTTAACCGCAATGCACAGAGTGGTATGTTCCTGCTTTCTCATTCAAACTATACACTTGTGACAAACTGTCGCTTTTCTTGCAGTCATGATTTTATGTTCTGTGTCTGTGTTGGCCGTGTATATTGGCTTGTGTGTGTGTAGTGCGAAGATAGCGCTACGTGTAGCATGCGGTCCCGAAACGCTGAGCCTCCCAGTCCGGACTCTCTCCGCCGAAGGAAGGAAATTCTGTATGCAGAGAGCAGGTATGCCTGTGTTTCCTAGAAGTGCATATCAAAATCTCATCATTTCTTACTGACATGATGAGATTTTAGGAAACATTTCACCAGAACGGATGAATGAGTGTTGCTGACCTCTGCATTCCTTTCTGTGTTCATATCATGGCACAGTTTCAGGTTGATTATTGATTTACAGCAGAAAAAGAAAGACGGAGGTAAAGTGTAATCGAGAGCTAATTAAAGAACACAAGTTTGTTGAGGAGCCACAGAAGTTCTATTGAAATCACAAATTGAGTAGACTTTATATACTTGTCACAGTGTCGTGCTGTTGTCATAGCAACCCACCAAACCAGTCTGTAGACATTATCCCCATTTATCACACACTTCTTTGCGAAGTAAACTCAGTGTAAAATGCATACTGTCATTGTTGTGTGCATCCATATTTGTTGGATCTGATAAGAGCACTTGTCTGTATTTTTTTCTTGTAGCTCAGAGGCAGCAGAGACTGACAGTCTATTGGACGACTTTGTGTTGCTTCCCAGCGGTGCGTATTGAAAGCATTATTCTTCTTTAAATTAATGTATATGTGTGCAGAGATATCAGAAAGAGACCTTCTTTCCTTCTTCCTCTCACCCACAACTGGAACAGCAGATAGCTGCCCGTTCCTGAGCCTAGTTCTGCCAGATTTTTCTTCCGGTTACAAAGGAGTTTTTCTTTCCCACTGTCACCAAGTGCTTTCTCTATTCTCCATATTTCTCATACGGGATCATCTGATCGCTGGTGTTTTCTCTCTATTATTGTAGTACATTCTTTACCTTATAGCTGTTGTTTGAGGGGAGTTTCATTAGCTTTTGTCCCCTGTTGTGTCTTTGCCAACGTAGAGTGACACATTAACCCCAACACATTATTTCCTGGGAAACAACCCTGATGTCCAATCATTAAACATTCTCTCTTTTGTCCAGTGGGGAACAAGAGCATGCAGACATTCGGGCTTTCCTCTCGTAGGAGGTCCAGCTCTCACAGGTGAGACAGTGACACGAATTTTTAAATAGAATTAGATGCTACTCTGCCCAAAGGGTATGGACACTTTAAAGGCCAATCATAAATCTAATGCAGGCTATTAATCACAGGACATTGTTGATCACTAGCTGGTGAAGTGAAAACAACTCTTCAACAGTTGAGAATTTTACACCACAATAAAAAACCTCCTCAGTGTCTCAGATCACATTCTTGCACACTTACTTCTTACACTTAGCAACTTGGGAACATGTGCCCATGTATATTAAAAAAAAGTGCTCTACAAATAACCGGATATTGTGAGTGTGCACTGCTGTAGCAAAATCAGTCCAGGAGAGCAGGTCCACTTTCTACTAATCCCAGTGTGCAGGAGTTATTTGTAATTATTAGTGATCAATATTTGCTAAATAGCTTGAATAACTTCCCTAATTTTTCATCGCCAGCCTGTCAAGATCCTCAGTCCCTCCCTTCCTGATGCGTTCTCGTCCAAAAGCGATCCGTGTCAGTGGCAGAGTTCTCAGCATCTCCTTCCAGGGTGAGGCGCTCCTCAGCCAGCTGGCAGTGTTGGGGGGCAATAAGACGGGAGTGTTTGTGCATCAGGTGACTGAAGGCAGTGCAGCTCACACTGTTGGCATCAGCCCCGGAGCTCAGATAGTGGAGGTAGGTGCAAATGTGTGCGTAAAAGCAGTTTTTCTCCTTATCACCTGTTGCAAAGGCGAGTCTCACCACGCTGTTGGTCTGCAGGTGAAGTACGAGAAGAATCAGAAGGCTCTGAGGATGGTGCTGGAAGATTCCACTTTAGAGGAAGCCATGTGGGCTCTTGGCCAGGTTGCAGGCATCTGTCATCTCTCCCTCCGCCCCAGACAAGATGGTACGTCATATTTCTTGTACTGATTCATCGAGAACTTACACATGAATTGCGTCAGATTTCCATATGACTTGCACCATAACCGGAACACCATTTTACTGTAACCCTGCATCGCGGCCTTCTACGTAGCTTGGCGTGCCTCCTGAGAAATGTGACTACATGTCCACAACCACTTAAAGGCTGTGGTATAGGGATAAAAAGAGATTCCAGTTGCTACGCAAGTTAGGAAGTAAATTTCCCGCAAAGCCTAAATGAAGTTTTAGTCTCATCTTGAAACACTTATATGCCATTTTAGTGGAGATGTTAGATCTCGCTCTATGACATGTCTGCAGTCTTGAAGCCAAATTGTTCTGTTATTATTTTCTTCCACACTATTATCTAAACTTACTGAAGCTGTAAAAATGCCCATAAACATGTAAGAGTATTGGCAGTACTGTATTATACTTTGTGTTTGTTTTACACGCGTAGCTGTGAAATAAGACTTTATGGTTACAGCTGACTTCAGGAAGGAGGCTGCTTTGGTTGACATTAAAAGGATGCCTGACATGAGGAAGTAGAAACTGGATATGATGAACATGCTGCAGTCATGAGGGTGTTTTTGTTGTGCGTCAAGCAAAGAATTCAGCTCTGACACCCTGTCATTTTGAAAAAGTAAACCACATTTTTTGGCACGTATCCAAAGACAGAACATAATAAAAAAGCAGGCCCTGCATGGTTGACATAATAAAATGATTGTTTGTTTGCTATTCCCTCTCCTTCACGCGTTGCATCACAAACTGGTCTTTTAAATGTTCTCAGCAGATTATTTGTGCATGTACATGAACTCAAAGTTCTCATGTATTCAGAAACCACACCTGATTTGATTTCCTGTCTTCTTGTGCACATCTGGCCCGCTCTGGCTTGGATGCTACTTTGTGACTGCACCCTGGCAGTCCACTTCTGACCACTTCCGCATTTTCACCATGATCCTCAAACTATCCAGTAAAATCTTAATTTTTATTGCGTGGATCATTGCTCGCGAGAAGAGCAGGGTGTTCAAGAAAGTTCAGGCTACGTCCACACGTACCCGGGTATTTTTGAAAACGCAGATTTTTCTATGCGTTTGCACCTTTCGTCCACACGTAAACGGCGTTTTCGGTCACTGAAAACGGAAATTTCTAAAAACTCCGGCCAGGGTGGATATTTTCTAAAACTCCGTTTTTGCATTTACGTGTGGACGAGAAAAACGGAGAAAACGCAGCATCAAAGGTGTGCGCCTTTTTTGACGTCACACTGTGCGCCACGTTATTGTTTCGGTGAAATGAATTTCTACAATACTGTTACTGTTAATTGTACTCTCTGCAGTGTTTAAATGCTTACATATACACACACAGTTACTGTCCCTCCACACATACCACTCAGTTCTGCTTCTATGCCCCAGCTTTGTTTACTATTTCCCACCGAGGCTTCTAGACTTCTGATTGGCCAACATTTCTGCACGGTTAGGAATATAGCGCCACCTGTTGCTTTGGCATGTTCCTAGCAGCGTTTTCCTTCATTTCTGCCTTTACGTGTGGACGGGATTATTTTTTTAAAGAAAACGGAAAATCTCTGTTTTCAAAAACACCCGTGTACGTGTGGACGTAGCCTCAGTTTGAAGGAGTGCTGCTACTCTGGAAAAGCTCCAGCCCTCATCACAGACACACAGGTGTAAGTGATCAAAACGGGACGAGCTTTGAAGGGGATCTGATAAAATAAAGTCTAGTATAGGTTTAGTTTTTATCTGTGAATTTTATAAACGCATCTTTACGGGTAAGGCTTGTGCTTATGTTGGGTGTGAGGATTAAGCACAGGAGGTAATAAAGTACAGTTACCATGAAAGTATATTGTTCTTTAAACTTGACATTATGGTAGTTCTGCATCACTGGGATGAAATGTAGAGCATGTACAGCAACTGACATCAGTTCTGAATATCGTCCACATGGTGTGTACTGCAGAGTGTCAGTCCAGTGGTTTAACGTCCTCTTCTATCTGCTCAGACTACGAGGCGCTGCTGCAACAGCTGCAGAGCAGTGAGACGTCATCAGGAGACTCCTTCTACGTACGTGTCAACATGTCCCTCACTGCCGGCCCCGGAGGAACCCTGCCTGTGTCCTGTAACGACATCCTGCATGTGACGAACACGCGGCCCGCTGGCACTGAGGACTCGTGGCGCGCCAGTCACGTTCACCCGTGTCAGCAGCTGGACCTGCAGAGCGGAACTGTTCCCAATTATTACAGGTTGGTGCACTGATGAATGAAAAGTTCAGGTTCACAAAAGGCAACTGTGCGCTCTTCAGATTATTCGAGAATGGAGTCAGATCACTACTCACTGACTTCTTGATGTCACAGGGCACAGCGGCTTCTGATTCGAGCTATTGAGGATATGAGCTTTGAAGCAAAGAAGTCTGAAAAGGTAAGAATAAACTAAAGCACTGGGTTTTTGTTGATTTGTTTAATTTTATTCACAAGTTACATCTTTCCCCTAATTAACTCCTGGGAATATTCTTCTGCTTCGTCAGGGTGAGCGTGTGATGACCCAGAATACACAGAAGACTGTGAGGATTGTCAGCACTGGGCGCCAGGGCAGGAACCCACTGTGGGTCAGCGTGGAGGAGGAGAAGAGCGCGAGTGCAGAATCAGGTACAGTAGTCACAAAACAGCAGAATTCCTCAGGGCCACATATTCTACAAACAGCCAGTGAATCTCAGCTTTAACTGCACTTAAAAAAGAGATCTATGGAAATATTAGTGAGATATAAACATTTGCACTGTCTATTCTTTCCACTGCAGATGCAACATCTGCACCCAAAAGTTGCGTAACTCTCATGCCCTACACCCTGGTGACGCCACGCTATCCGCCTGTCTGCAGGCCTGTCCTGCTGCTGCCCTCGGTGCTGGGACGCATCCTGGACAAGAAGCTGGCCAGCTGGCAGGGCTTTCAGCTCTGTGAGCCGGGTAAGAAACGCTCCGTCGATATAAGCTGACAGGAAATCTCGGCTACAGAATAAACAGCTGAAGACAAATTGTTAGATAAGCGGGAGGGACACGGTTTCCTGAGCTGACTCATGTTTTATGGGCGAGATTGCTCATACACCTCCCACTCTATTTACGATTTCATGCTGTAATGGAAGCGTAGTAAATAACCGGTCTCATACTGCACAATGAGATGGGTTTGTGTGTTACTGTAAATCAGGAAGGAAATAAATATCAATAAAAGAAGGACAGCAGCCATAAAGTGTAAATCTTTACCATCATTACAGCAACATAGGCGTAGGATATTTAGAGGAAACAACAGGCTACACCAAATGAAATCATTTAATGTGTGTTTCCAATAATACACAGCATTATCTCGTGTGTTATAATCTCTTTCCTCTCTGCTTCAGAGGTGCTGAGCTCCAGTGAGCATGCAGCCCAGCTCCAGAGGTCTGAGATCCTGGAGGAGGTTGAGCAGGGTGGGAGCCGCTGCTACACCCTGCAGAGTGTCGAGAAGGTCATGAAGAAGGTCAGAGCAAAGA